AAAATTGAAATGAGAAAAGATGGAAATAATGTTAAAGGTCGAAAAGGTTGAGTTAAGAGAAAAGAAAAACATTAGAAATAGAGATAATGTATGTGCGTGTGTGTGTGTGTGTGTGCGTGTGTGTGCGTGCGTGTGCGCGTGTGTGTGTGTGTTTGAGAGAGAGAGAGAGATAAAGTCTGCATGGGATAAAAGGGAATGTGAAGAGAGGGGGTAAAGAGAGAGACTGAAAGAGAGAAAGAGAGATTAAAAGCCAAATTAGAAAGAGATCGAAATGTAGATTCAGAAAATGTTGATATCACAACAAACTAAAGAGAAATAGAGAAATGGAGAGAGGAGGAGAAAAGGGGAGAGGGAGAGAGAGAGAAAGAGAGAGAGAGATGGGACAGAGTTAGAAGAGAAAGATATATATATAAAGAGAGATAAAGCCCGTGGGAGAGAATTTCTCGAAAGAGGGATCTGTGATACAGGCTATACAACCGTATCCGTGTAGACCTACATATAGTATACCTATTTTAGGGTATCTGGATAAAACGACCCCCCCCCCCCCCAACGAACCTCAGATACAGCCTATTTGGATTAACAAAAGGCACTAGTGCATCGTTTTGGTTTCGAACCCGGGTTGCCGGATTACAAGACCACTGCTCTACTGACTTAGGGTAGGGTGATGGTAGAGGTAGGATGGTGGAGGTAGGGTGGTGGTAGAGGAAGGGATGCGGTAGAGGAAGCGCGGTGGTAGAGGAAGGGTGGTGGTAGGCGTAGGGTGGAGGTAGGGTGGAGGTAGGGTTGTGGTAGATGTAGGGTGGTTGTAGAGGTAGGGTGGTGGTAAGGTGGAGGTAGGGTGGTGATAGAGGTAGAATGGTAGAGGTCGAGGTTTGATTGTAGGGGTAGGGTGGAGGTAGGGTGGAGGTAGGGTGGTGGTAGAGGTAGGATAGTGGTAGGGTGGAGGTAGGGTGGTTGTAGAGGTTGGATGGTAGAGGTAGAGGTTGGATTGTAGAGGTAAGGTGGTTGTAGGGGTAGGGTAGAGGTAGTGTAGAGGTAGGGTGGTGGTAGGGTGGTGGTAAAGGAAGGATGGTAGAGTTAAAGGTTGGATTGTAGAAGTAAGGTGGTGGTAGGGGTAGGGTAGAGGTAGGGTAGAGGTAGGGTGGTGGTAGGGTGGTGGTAAAGGTAGGATGGTAGAGTTTGAGGTTGGATTGTAGAGGTCGGGTGGTGATAGAGTTAGGGTGGCGGTAGAGGTAGGGATGTGGTCGAGGAAGGATGGTAGATGTTTGATTGTAGAGGTAGTGTGGTGGTAGAGTTAGGGTGGCGGTAGAGGTAGGGATGTGGTAGAGGAAGGGTGGTGGTAGAGGTATGGTGGTGGTAGGGGTAGGGTGGTAGAGGTAGGGTGGTGGTAGGGTGGAGGTAGGGTAGTGGTAGACGTAGAATGGTAGAGGTAGAGGTTTGATTGTAGGGGTAAGGTGGAGGTAGGGTGGAGGGAGGATGGCGGTAGAGGTAGGGTGATAGTAGAGGTAAGGTGGTGATAGAGGTTGGGTGGTTGTAGAGGCAGGGTTGTAGTAGAGTTAGAGTGGTGGTAGAGGCATGGTGGTGGTAAAGATAGGGTGGTGGTAGAGGTAGGGTGGTGATAGAGGTTGGGTGGTTGTAGAGGCAGGGTGGTGGTAGAGGTAGGGTGGTGATAGAGGTTGGGTGGTCGTAGAGGCAGGGTGGTGGTAGAGGCAGGGTGGTGATAGAGGCAGGGTGGTGGTAGAGGCAGGGTGGTGGTAGAGGTAGGGTGGTGGTAGAGGCAGGGTGGTGGTAGAGGCAGGGTGGTGGTAGAGGCAGGGTGGTGGTAGAGGCAGGGTGGTGATAGAGGCAGGGTGGTGGTAGAGGCAGGGCGGTTGTAGAGGCAGGGTGGTGGTAGAGGCAGGGTGGTGGTAGAGGCAGGGTGGTGGTAGAGGCAGGGTGGTTGTAGAGGTAGGGTCGTGGTAGAGGCAGGGTGGTGGTAGAGGCAGGGTGGTGGTAGAGGCAGGGTGGTGGTAGAGGTAGGGTGGTGGTAGAGTTAGGGTGGTGGTAGAGGTAGGGTGGTGGTAGAGGCAGGGTGGCGGTAGAGGTAGAGTGGTGGTAGAGGTAGGGTGGCGGTAGAGGTAGGGTGGCGGTAGAGCTAGGGTGGTGGTAGAGGTAGGGTGGCGGTATAGAGCTAGGGTGGTGGTAGAGGTAGGGTGGCGGTAGAGGTAGGGTGGTGGTAGAGGTAGGGTGGCCGTAGAGGTAGGGTGGCGGTAGATGTAGGGTGGTGGTATGTAGGGTGGTGGTAGATGTTTGGTGGTTGTAGAGGTAGGGTGGTTGAAGAGGTAGGGTGATGGTAGAGGTAGGGTGGGGTAGAGGTAGAGTGGTGGTAGAAGTAGGGTGGGGTAGAGGTAGGGTGGTGGTAGAGGCAGGGTGGTGGTAGAGGTGGGGTGGTGGTAGAGGTAGGGTTGTGGTAGAGGTAGGGTGAAGGTAGCGGTAGGGTGGTGGTAGAGGTAGGGTGGGGTAGAGGTAGTGTTATGGTAGAGGTAGGGTGGTGGTAAAGGTGGGGGTGGTTGTAGAGGTAGGGTCGTGGTAGAGGCATGGTGGGGGTAGAGGCAGAGTGGTGGTAGAGGTAGGGTGGCGGTTGAGGTAGGTCGGTGTTAGAGTTAGGGTGGTGGTAGAGGTTGGGTGGTTCTAGATATAGGGTGGTAGTAGAGGTGGGGTGACGGTAAAGACAGGGTTGTGGTAGAGATAGTGTGATGGTAGAGGTAGGGTGGTGGTAGAGATTCAGAATGTTAGGCCTATAATGGTTATTTCTGTATACTTTATTCAAGATTCAAATCTTTATTCGAGATACGTCTATTAACATCTCCCACGGCATCCATATCGTATCTTTGTGGTTCTCTCTCACCTCTCTCTTTCTCTCTCTGTCTCATTGTCTCTGTCTATATGTCCCTCTTTCTCTCTGCCTTCTATCTTTCTTTCTGTCTCTCCCTTTCTCTTTCTCTCTCTCTCTCTCTCTCTATCTATATATATGTATATATATATATATGTATCATTATGTCTCTGTGTCTCTGTAGCTCTTCCACCTACGACTCCCTCTCGTCATTTCCCTCCCATCTTCATACTCTCGAACCTTCACCGTTGGTCTTTTATTCTTCATCTACATAATTATCATTCATTATCTTGTCTTATTTTATTCAACCTTTTCTCTTTTTAATACTCGTGGTCTTCTTCTTTTTCTTCTTTTTCTTCTTTTTCTTCTTGTGATTTTTCTTCTTCTTTTTCTCGCGGGTCTTCCTTTTAAGTTATAGGAGGCCATTTTCTTCTTTCTTTCTTTTTTCTCAGTTTGATTGCATGTCTATTCATGAATGAAAAATGTGATATACTAGCTTACATGTGAACCAAGCTTTATCATTGTCATGTTGTAGTTTTTTTTAAATGACAAAGTCACGTCGTCAACCATATAGGCCATGCAAGAAAACCCGTTTACTTGCTAGACTTCACTGTCAGACACTATTGAGTGACTGACTGGCTATTTTCTTCTTTGGTGATAACATACATTAAATGAGCTGTAAGGGTACATGAGCATTTGTTTACATCATTAACCCACTTCTTGTAATGGCCAAAATTAAACTGATTGAATCTTTGCGCAGCATAAAACGTACGACCATTCGGTACAATGGTTTGAAAATCAGACTATTACTTACTGGCTCTATAGCTCTTAAGTCGATTCAACATCTCAAAGTCGTTATTTTCCCACTTAAAGACATTTTCAAGCCCCCTTTTTTCAGGGAAGTTCTAAATTAGTATTATCTTTCAAATGCCGTTGGAATTTAACCTTTTCATTTTTTTTGGCTTGCAAATGGGACATAGTACCTTTAAGTCATAACTGACAGTAATGAGGATTAATGCCTCACAAAAGGGCACTAATATAGCTGATCGACTCAGTTTTTTATTATGGGGCCTCACAGTAACGAGGGCATTGCTTAGCCACTGAATCATGACTGTACGCAGCGGGTGCTATAGGGTACGTCGCCGCCCCCACATATACACAAAAAAAGAAAAGAAAATGCAATAAATTATCAATAATTCATTGCATTTTCCCCCGGTTCCTAACAGGAAAAAATCCTCTGTAGGGCCATGCATTATGGTTTAAGGCATGACCACATAGAGGATCAAAACCGTGTCGATGTGCTATATTAGTGCCCTTTTATGAGGCATTAATCCTTATTACTGTTAGTTATGACTTAAGGACTTAGGTCCCCTAGTTGATTAGCATAGTAGCATATACATGCTTTAGCAGTCACGCAAAACAAACACTCACAAATTATTATTCAACACCATCTGAGAATGTATACTCTTATCTAGATCTAAATCAGTGTCAAAATTATTCCATAAATTGGGGTAAAAATAATTATTCCACCATTATGACCAACAGTGTATAGTTCGTGGAATCCATCCAGAGAAAGTTGACGTAGAAGACGAACGAATGATATCTCAACAGGCGCGTAATTTTATGTATGTAAACCCCCCTAAAAAAACCTAAACCCCTTTGATTTTTTTTTTTTTTTTTTTTGTAAAAAAAAAAAAAAAAAAAAAAATTATGCCCACGGCCGACCTAAAAAAGGTGACCTTACCCCCCCCCCCCCCAACTGAGCAAAATGTCAAATTTCCAAATTTCGAGACCAAAAAAAAAAAATATATATAATTCTTTATAAAAGATGGAAATCGTGCGACTCTATAAAGCATGCCTAGTGGCAACACAAATTATTGATTTGATGCACCTCGAATCTGACCAGAGGACCACGACATTCCCCTCCAATCCAAATAGCTTTGTTGTTATTGTTCTTTTAGTCTTGCGGCGTGTGTCATTCATTTATGAATATTTACGCCTGATCTATGAGCTCTGATCTTCGGCCTAGCCTCCGATCCCGTGCGCGGCCATGGTACGAAAAAATAAGACGCATCCCGCGCACTTAGCCTACCTAGGACAATTGAGGTCAACGCACTTTGTATTTACGTAATATTTTGTTGACAGTTTTGGGAGGCCAAGCGCAAAAAAAGCTGACCAAATCACATGACTATGAAACATATCACCGAGAAAGTACAAGCAGTATCTTCATGTGTTAGTTATGCACATCGAGAGGTGGTGTTAAACTGACAGGTAAATAGTACGATTTCTTCTGTACTTTGTTGCTTCAGCCTTCATAATCATAAACATCTAACTATTCTAACTAAGCAAAAAAGTTGAAAACCCTTCACTTCAGTTTAGTCCGACAAGTTCGATTATGCGTAGGACTAGATCTATAGTCTACATCAAGACAAGACTTCTAAAGTTCTATCTAGATCTAGACTAGATCTAATTTGTCCTCATAAGATATAGATCTAGACTACTAGTAGAGGTTTATTCTATCTTGTCACTTCACCTGAAATTATGATTTATTTATTTTAACTTGCACAGGTCTGTTTTGTGTTAACAAAATTGTGGGTACAGAGCGGACAAAACACACTTTTTTCCCTGTGATTCATAAGACTAAGATTAAGACCCCAGGCACTTGTCAGTAGTAGGCCTAGATTCTAGATCTACTGGGGCCCGTGGGGGCGCTGGTTCGAGAAAATGTCCGTCGGCATAAACGAAGATAAGCAAGGACCCATCGCATCCTCAAGAATAAGGATCGTCTGCATTCGGCGCTCTGCAGGTGTATTAGAGTAGACTAGGGTTACTTATCTGTGCGCTGGCAATGCAAAAAATGGATTCTGCGTAATAAAATATCCACAGTTCACCATCTACTTTTACGAGTTGTCCGTCATCCCGAGGATTTATCTAAATAACATGAAAGTTTCTGTGCTGCGTAAGTGATAAATGCATCATGGAGATCATCACGGAATCGGTTTTATGCATCACAAACTCGCGGTTTCAGACATACATGTAAGTACACGAATTGTCCGCGTTTACGAAGATATCCTTGTTTATGCGGACGATCCTTATTCTTGGACCAGCGCCTCTACTGATGACTGAATCGAAGTTCTTTCAGTATCATATATTGTAATTGTTACCAGATCTATTGTAAGAATTGATTTAAGAAGAGCCAAGAAGTTATACAAAATTGGTGAATGGCACCCCTGACTTAATCTAGTCGCTTTGAAAAATCTGTTTGACACCCGATCTTGATAGTTACCATGGAAACCATACCAGAAGAACCTTCGACCTCGATGACATCTTCAGAGGAGGAGGAGCAGCCCAGATCCAGGTCTAGAGTCGTCTCTGTGGAACCAGTTATTTTCCTGATCCTAGCGGTCCAGGGGGTGTTGGTGAACCTACGCACCCAGTATGTTGAGGAGCGTCTGGCAGCCGATAATAATTACACTCTTCCAGAGGCGGGGAACTGCTCTGCTGCTAACAAGTCGGGTATGAAATGATATAAGATTATTCAATTAAGTTTACTCATTTCCATAAAAAAATCACATTACAAGAACACTTACATTTGCAAATAATACTGTAAATAACATGCAAAAATTTTCACTAGAATATACATAATTACATTAAGATATTTAGGTATTACAAAGTTTTGGTATGAAGTCATGAATTTGGTTCAAATGAACATATTGGAAGCATATGCGATCCTACAATATTCAGCGATTGTTTGTCGCGGTTGAAATCGAGTCTAAAGTGATGAAAATAACATAATATTACTCTTTATGTTGTATAGCTCCCTCTCAAGGTCAAGATATTAATTAAGCTATAAAACAATGTTTCTCAAATAAAATGACCGATTAGCTATTCCCGTTTGGAAATTATATATCACCACTACATATTCTGAGATTTTCATGGTCGCAGCTACCATTTGTAGGGCTGTAGGCGCTTTTTGAAATTCATCAAAATTTACCGGGAGCACGGGTAAATTTTTATATTCAATTTATCTCGAAAGCAGAAGTGTTTTAGGGGCTAAATTTTCTAGTGCTTATAATATATCCAAAGGGGCATCCAAATAAATCAAAATTGTATAGAATGACATCCACCCAATTTTCAAAATTTCCCAAAACTTTGTATTACCTTTAAACAATAATGGAAAAAGGGAAGTTATAATAACCCAAATAAATGAGTTTGTTGAGATATCTCCCCAAAAGGTCATTAAACAAAATGTGATGAACATAATAAAGACTTTAAATTACATACCAGGTAAACTTATTTTGCCCCCCAAAAAACTTGTATAACAACAGAAAAAGAAAACAAAAACATACAAGCCCTACAAATACAAACATACACACGCATATAAAGTGGAAAAATATTCTACACAAAATCACATGTGATTAGTTGCTGCTTTATTACACTGAGCAGGGAAGGGGAAGGTGGGGGACTAGAAGGGGGTAGGGAGGAGAAGGGAAAAAATAGACGGGGGCTCAGGGTGAATTAGCCCCCGAAATGCCCAAAAGAGCCCCCGAAAGTAATACAAGAGCCCCCAAATTTTGCATAGAGCTCAATGCAGAACAAATTAAAGAGTGTAATTTTCATGCAAGCAAGCTCGAAATGTAGTCCCCCAAATTTTTAAAGTAATTTTTTCCCTGGGGAGGAGGCCAGGAGGGGGTAGGGCAAGGGGTAGGGGAGGAGAGGAGAGGAGAGGAAAGGAAAGGGATGGAAGGAGAGTGTTCACAATTACATATCCATGTAAACATGTATGTCCTAAGAAGCTCCAGAGTCAGAGGTCATCTAAATTAACTGTAGCTACAAAGTTATACATTTTTTATATGAGGAAATTCCAGAGATGAAAAAAATTACCCACTCCTTTATTATCCTTTATTAACCAAGTGCCTACAGTGCCTTAGAAGAGAATTTGATAATCTACAAGTTGATTTTACCCGAACAGTGACTAAATTTCTACATTCTATTTAACTTCCTTTGCAGCTGATGCTACGGGAAGACAGATAGAATCAGAGACATCGTTATGGGTCATGTACATGAAATCAACATCTGTTTTCATCCCCATCTTCACCGGAACAATCCTCATCGCCGCCTCTGACATCGTTGGAAGAAAACCCATCCTGATCATCAATGCACTCGGCCATCTTCTTGCCTCAACTGTCTTCCTTCTCCTTGCCTGGCTCCACCTTCCGCTCATCGTCGCCGTGGCAGCAGAATGCATCCTGGGACTCAGCGGCGATTCCATCGTCTCCATCAGCGTTTCCTTCGCGTACATCGCCGATACGAGCACGGGCAAGTCGCGGGTCACGAAGTACACGATCATCTCATTCATGATCTACATTGGATTCGGTGGAAGTCAAATCTTTGTGGACCTCATCTTGCAGAAGACAGACAGCTACACTCTCGCATTTGGTTGTGCATGGATATTCGCCTTTCTCAACTTCCTGTACGTCCTAATCCCGGGGCTTTTGATAGAGACCGTCGTAAAACGCACCTCCTTCAAGCTGGTCAGGACGGTCAAGAAACTCCTGAGGAGCTTCGTCCAGCTTTTATCGGTGTCAAAGGACAGGAGACGGTCAAGGTTGGCCCTTCTACTGACCATGTTCATGATCTATAATGTAATCACCGAGGCCGTCTATGCCGTCATTACCATTTATGGACTTGGTCAGCCGTTTTGTTGGTCGCCTACCATGGTTGGGATCTACAATGTCATAGTGAATGCATTTCCAGCTTTTGGTACGTACTAGGTGTAAAATGGAAATCATTTCATTGCTTTTGGTAATGATAAATATATATTCTTTCAAAATCAAATTTTTAAGGATGAATAACTAATTCACTTTCACAAAAAACTTTCACAATTTTGAGTAGAAAATATAATACCAGAGTCATAATCACATATATGTAGAATATACAGGAATCAAGCTCTTGGTATTGTTCCATGCGTAACAAACAGTCTCATGATGTGTGGATGAGAGTTTTGATCTTCAGTGTTTTATGCTTTTCAGCAAGTATTTGTCATTTCATTAAGATTTTCTTGTGTTTAGACAATCTATTCACTGCTTGATAAACATTAAACAATTCAAGAATCAATCCAAGCCAATACTGTTTGCAATGCAGGTCCCTGTTTCATAAAACTTGTTATCCATAACATGTTACAAAAACTGTTAAAAGCTACTGAAATCATGGCATTTGATTGGCTAAGATGCAAGTTTATCATAGAAATTCATGATTTGTTATTGATAATGAGTTTTATGAAACAGGGCCCAGTTCCATTCTATCACTACCTTTAAAAAGGATGTGCAATTGTCCTTCTAAAGCTTGCACATTTTTAAGTTGATGTTTGTGAATGTTCTTTGAGTAACTTCTTGAACACTCCTCCAAGTATTTTGTAAGTACCTCTGTATCCTCAGCGAACCACCAAACAGACTCCAAACCAACTAAATACCAAGTTACCAACCAATACTTTTCATGGTAATGTCACTTTTTTCTTCTCGATCTGTTCTGTTGTCTCGTTTCCTTGCTGTGATTATGGTAGTAACATTCCTTTTGCCTTTGTTTATTCTAGTTGCCATGGTGATGATCAAGCCCCTACTCTTCTGTTTGTCCGGCTACCTCATCATGCAGGTCGGGTTCCTCTCGGGCGTGGCCATACTCATTGTTTCTGCCATTGCCAAGACAACTAATGTTCTGGTCTACGTAGGTAAGTTTCAGTTCCAGCGGGTGACAGAACCATTGCTCTATCAACAGTATCCCACACTTACAGGGGGTGTTTCACAAAGACTAAGATCGACTTTAAGTTGGAATTAACTATGGCAGGCCGTTCATGCCACTAGTTCCTCTCACTATTATTCCCTCAATTATGATCTTTAGATAATATTTTTTCCTTCAATAATAAATTATCAAAAACCGTAAACCCTGTAGATTTGTGACCACGATTTAAACGTCCCTTGAGAGACCAATGCCAGTAAATGGTGAGAGCAAACAGTGGCATGAACAGCCTGCCATAGTTAAGTCCAACTTAAAGTTGATCTTAGCTTTTGTGAAACACCCCTCTGTATTACTAATTTCAACCCTAGCTCAAACGCTATGCCTTACCCTCACCCTAACCCTAATCTTAACCATAAACCTTTTACCTAACCTGAAATCAAATTGATAAAATAAACCCTGCATGAAATGTCACTGGAGCATATGTCAGAGCACTTGAATTTCTGAAACGATTTCTTGATTCCTCTATAACTAGTCCAGTTTGCAGGCCATACATGTATGTAAATAGGATGTGAATTCTGGCAAAACATGAAACGAATAACAACATCCAAAAAACAGAAATATAAGATTAGTCGACCCTTGTTAGTTTGCTCTGCGAAAAAAGGTTGCGTTAGCACAATACAATTTCATTTTGAAATTTGATCGAACTCTGATCCACAAACCAACCATACATGTATCTCAACTACCGGTACATCAATTCGTCAGCAATATTGTAACATTTATCAATATGGATTTTATGTGGGTGTCAGAAAATTCATTCAAGACATTAATCTACATTTGCCACTCTCCACCCAGGTGAAATAAATGGGTACCTAGAGGAAGAAATACCTTGAATGCTTTAGCGCTTTATTGTGGCATCTGAGCTACAGGATAGGTTGTAATATGATACTTTGTAGTAAAGTGCAGTAGAATTATTTGTATAATGACTGTAATTGAGAAGGCAAGTTGGCTCAGTCGGTAAAGCGTCTGCCTGTCGGACCAAAGATCTCGGTTTCAAATCCCACCCATACCGATGACTGAAGCTTGTGGTGTGTGTTTACGTGCCCCTCCCCTTGTTTCATAGACGCAGGCTATGTTAAGTGGAAAACACTCCGTCCCTTGGATAGGACGTTAAATGGAGGTCCAGTGTAGAGGAGAGTCACCATCCTTGCATGTTAAGAACCCATTTCACTATTCGTATAAGAGTAGGGGAAACCCCGGTGTAGTGGTGCACCTCCACACCCCAATCAGGCCGAGTATATACCGCATCTGCAAGAATCTTCTGTATTAAAGGAGGCAGATTATCTTGAAGAAGAAGAAGAAGAATTGGGCACATTATCATTTTTATTATCACCATGGTTACAGGTATGTTCTAAATCAAACTAAATTGTAAAAGACAAACTCCATATTTTACTTTCAGCTGTAGCGGCTGGCTCTCTGCGGACTCTTCCTGATTCTATCATCGAGTTCTTCCTTTCTAACATGGTATCTAGTCATGAGCGAGGTGAGAATCTTACCCTTTTCTGACTTGCCTCTCTAAAGGGGAAGTCCACCCAGATATTAAGTTGGTTATAATAGAAGCAGAAAAATGAGAAGAACAGTTTAGTGGAAGTTTGAGCGAAATCCGATTAAAAATAAGAAAGTTATGAATTTTTGAAGTTATGATCAATCAATTATGGCCAACTCTGTGAGATATCAGGTTAGGTCCTTACCAATTTGCTCTGTATCATAAATTCGACATTTCCATTTTTGCCCTAATGACAAGTTCCAATCATGCATGCACCCTAAATATAATTGTTGCAAATAAGTTTTTTTACAACCCTCCCATCATCAAATACTTAGTCATTTAAAGTTCATTAAAGCCCGTCTACACTAGTTTGGCAAGGGGAGATTAGACCTCCCTGCAAGGTCACTGGCAGGTGGTTATATCATCAAATCAGCTCTCAATTAAAATAAGAAAAAGGGGATCATGGGGGGATCAACAGGTCCCGATTAGGCATTGTTGGCTGTACAGAGGGCGCAAATAGGTGTAAGTAATGCAGTGGGGCTTTAAGTTCTCTGTTACCCCAAGTATTAGACAGGGATGCCAGTTTTCAGGCCCTGGCAAGTTAATTTCAGACTATAGTTTAGGTTTTTTGTGATTTTCAGGCCCTGTGATCAATTCTAACTGGCATCCCTGATTACAAGTAGTAGTGTAGCAAGTATTGATTTGTTTATTTATTCATTTGTTTATTTATTTATTTATTTGTTTATTTATTTATTCTCTTGGATAATGACAGGAACTGCTTTTGCCCTGCTGTCCATCGCAGCATCTGTTGGTAAAGTGCTCTCGCCTATCCTGTTAAACGCAGTCTACGCCAAAGCAGTTCTTCTCAACTTCCCTGAGCTCACCTTCTACCTCGCAGCAGCTATCTATGCGTTACCCATCCTCTTAACAGCGTAAGTACTCAAGCAAATCCCATCCCACGATGCAAGTACAGTTAAATGTAATCATTTCATTTTTATGCCTCCATTACGAGGTAGCTGGAGGGATTTTGTTTTTGGGTTGTCCGTCCGTCGTCTGTACGTCTCGTTCTCGTGATCCCGTTATCTCAAGAATCGATAGATGGATTCCTGCCAAACTTTTGGTCATGTATGCATCTTGCAGAGCCAATGAACTGATTAGACTTTAGGGTCATGAGGTCAAATATCAAAGGGTCATACATGTATATTAAGAAAACTTGCGATAGAATGGGATCAATCACAACTCTTTATAAGACGGGACCCTGGTGAACAGGAAAAGAGCCCCGCAAAAAACAATAAAATGCTTAATAATCACTGTTAGCTTTCAAAAAGTTGCTCGTCATGTCACAAAGGCCAAACCCTACAACTTACAATGTCTCCTGAGAAGAGAAATCATTACTTTTTACACTGGGTAAAGTAAAGATTTTGGTTAGTGTAGGAGGTGCATAGCATTTGTCACAGGAGCAAGTGTCATAAACCTGGGCCCTGTTTAACAAAAGCCAAAGCTCTATGGCAAATTTGCTCTCAGCCAATCAAACGCAACTATTTCAGTAGCTTATACAGTCAAACCTGTCTATAGCGACCGCCCAAGGCAAACACAAAAAGTGGTCTTTGTAGACAGTACATGTTTCATTGAGAAACCATTTTCAAGGGAAACAAAAAATGTGCTTGTTGTAGACAGGTGGTCTTTGTAGACAGAAGGTCACTAAAGCAGGTTTGACTGTAACAGTTATCGCAACTTTCTATTGCTAACAAGTTTTGTGAAACATGGTTCTGATTTGTAATCCTCTGTTGTTTCTTGTCAGGATCCTACATGTGTGTAGCCGGCCGTATGATGGACTGAAGATGCAGATACAAGGAGAGACAGAAGAACAGAAACCACTGGTGGAAGATTAACAGGTAGAGAAATCATCACTCAGGAATAGAGGAAGGTCAAGTGATGGTTCCTAAAGCAGGAGCACAAACCAAAAGTTCAACGCACAAAGAGCAAGCGCAACGCACAAGCACAACGCACAAGTACAACGCACAAGTACAACGCACAAGCACAACACACACGCACAACGCACAAAGCACACGCACGACGAAGTACTATTATTTATTATATTTGCCCATTTATAGAGCATAGTTCCTATTAACAAATATACTCTTCTTGGCTTAATATGAAGTATCATTACCGCAGTTGTAGCCTAGCCACCAAGATAAGTCGTCAAAGCTTTCAAGGAATCTCTCCCTCCCTGGTACCCGTTTACTTCACCTGGGTGGAGAGTGGTAAAAGTAGATGAATGTCTTGCCAAAGGACATTTTCATGAATTGTGATATTGACTGGCCTAAAGAGCAATACTACCCAAATAAAGGACCACACCTCTAGCACCTCCACTTCGCCAGTTATCAAGACACAGTGGTTCATTCACTTCAATCTTAATTCTAAGGTTGAGGGTTCAAATCCCAGCCTGTCAATAGCTTCCTGTGGCAAGACATTAATCCCACTTGCCACTCTTCACCCAGTTGTAAATGGGAACCTGACAATTGCAGAGGTAGTAATAATTGTTAAAGGTAAAGACCAGTTATGGTCATGCGATTGCATTGTGAAAGAAACGTTGTGGAATCGATCAGAAAAGGTTGATCATCTAGCATCTGCAAGGTTCTGGAATCATCAAAATGATAAGAAATTTGGCCCATTCTTCGTAAAGTTACAAGCACTATACACAGAAAGATGTATATGGGACTACCCTATATCTCTCACAGACCATGAGAGAAACAAATTTACCAAATATATGATTTAGTAGACGGTTTCCCGGCAAATTTGTTATCATCATGTATTAGTCAAAACATATTCTTTCACATGATTGGTAATGAGAGCTTCCATTTCATTTTTGAAATTGGGGCGTTTCCAATACTGGTCTTTACCTTTAACAGTTATTATAACTCGCTACTGCTAGCAACTGTTATGAAACAGGGCCCAGTTGCCACTAAAAGCTTCTACCGTGCTTCCGCTGGCAAAGTGATTTTTGCAGACTTCTGCCTGGAAGTCCTCATTTCTAAATGAGGTTTACATTGCCTACATTTTCAGTACTTTCAGTTTGCCTTTAAAATTCTTTCAAAATAATGCTGCAAAATGTTAAAACAGGGCATTTTTATTTACATCCGTACAGTATTTAGAAGAAAAAGAATTCATGTATTTAAAAGAGTCTGATCACGTTTACAATATAAGAGTCTGATTACAAATCAAATAATTCAGGGTTTTTTAAGAGTCTGATATAAATACATACATGTATATTCAGGTACTTTTAAAATCTAATAACATATTGAAATATTCAAGCTCTTTTGTTCACGTCTTTTAAACAGTTCATGAAATTTTTAAGATTCTTATTACATCTTGAAATATTTAGGTACTTAAAACAAAACATTTACCTTCTAATCTTCAGTGTTGATACATGTACATGCAATTTTTTAAAATCATAGGAAAACTTTTCTAAATGTGTACAGTATATTTTCTTGTTCAAATTTTAAATTATCATAATGCATATTGTATATTTTAGTGTTAATAATTTCAGTGTAATTAATTAATCAACGATGTGTCTCATCTGTCTATTTTGGTGCTAATATATTACATTTAAATTAATCCTTAATGTATTTCAAATCCTGATGCTAGTAGTCAATTTGAAATATTAATAACATATATTTTATATAATAGCAATAATTGTTTACATTTGAAAAAAAAAAATCATATTATATCTTTTATATTTTATCAGTATATATGCAGTATTTTAGGGGGGAAAAAAGAGTTGGTAAATTGTTGTGCTGACTCATGGGCATTAGTAACTTCAACTAAGTTGTGAACAAAAAGCTGAAAAATTATTTTAAAAATGAGAAAGTGAGATATAATTATGTTACCAGAGGTGCAAAGAAGGATCCTTGAGAAACATATGCTAAATAAAAGACTGGTATAAAAGAAATTTTGGGGCCAAAATTTTAAAAACGTTATTATGGACTCCACAAAACAGCCCATTTACTATCTACATGGTCTCATAATCATTTTTGTCTACTTATCATTTGGTCTAATGACCATATGTGCATGTATAATAACAACTTAATTTGTCATACCCCTTGTAAATTTGATGTTTATTTGTGGTTTTCGTAACTCAAGAATGAAAGGTGGACTGATTGAATGGAGGCACGTGATTCTTAAGAAAAGTAAATCAGGACAAATCAATCTTTCACATACTTCAAAAATGACAAAACCTGCAGGTCTGTCAAGCTGGTGCTTAATTATGGCACTGAATAAATTTGTTGTGGGGGGGGGGGGAAGGATGGAATGTTTAAACTTTATTTTCTCTGCTTTTACCCATCTTTGGACTCTTGGCAATCCACAGTAAGTCAGCAGTTATGAATAGTCTAAATTCAAATAAATAAGTTTAGGGTATATCGTTTGGAACTTTGAACTTCTTTAATATTTAATTCCAAAAAGTGCAATAACATTTCTCAGCATTTGGCATTTTAGGTTGAGTTACCTTAGCAGATTAGGTAATCATTAGCAAATGATCTTTTTAAGATGGAGTGGAGACAGCAGATTTATAGATATTTTCGCATTCATCTTATGTACTCTGATTATGGCTAATGAATATTTTAGAAGTGTATACCGACAAGCTTTAATATATTGTATAATTATGCCAACCTGATACGCACTCATTATCATAATATCATGTATTTTTTTACAATGATATTTATTCATGTATGTCATGTATGTCTTTCCATCTAACATTGCCTTACAAATATACTTTTTGTTGTTGAATGAAGTGCAATTACACTTTTTCTATTTCTTTCTGAAATAACAATTTTGTGACGCATGAAGCTTCTATCAATGTGCTATGCAAGAGAGGTTTTATAAACATGTACTAATTTTATACTTCATATATTAATATTATGTAATACTGATTTAATGTGTTGTGTCCGGTGTCCTTTTTGTTTAGTGTATTCTGTAGGACTTTATATTTATTTTATGCTTATGCCCTACTTTTAGTCATATTTTCTGATGGTGATGGATATAAAGCATCACAAACTGTGAATTAGGACAAGGTAGAGAGGTGCACATCAAAATAAATAGTTGACTGAAACTGGGGGGGGGGGAGAGAGAAAGAGAGAGGAGGGAGAGAGAGGGGGGGGGAGGGAGAGAGAGAGAGAGGGGGAGGGAGAGAGAGAGAGAGAGAGAGGGGGGGAGGGAGAGAGAGAGAGAGAGGGGAGGGAGAGAGAGAGAGAGAGAGGGGAGGGAGAGAGAGAGAGAGGGGAGGGAGAGAGAGAGAAAGAGGGGGAGGGATGTGGAAAGAGAGAGTGAGGAAGGGATGGAGAGAAAGAGAGAGACAGGGAGGGTGGGGGTCGAGAGAAGAGGTGCCCTACATACGGTAGATCTATTTGGGCACCTTTTTTTTCTTCTTGTTTTTGCATGTAGTTACAAGGTTGACTGAAACGGCCGGGGGAGGGGGTATAGAGGGAGTAAGACAGAGAGAGGGGATGTGTGAGAGAGAGTGAGGAAGGGAGGGAGAGAGAGTGAGGAGGCCGGGAGGGAGGGGGAGGGGAGGGGAGGGGGTGGGGATCAAGAGAAGAGGTGCCCTACATACATTTATTTGGGCACCCTTTTGTTCTTGTTTGTGTATGTAGTTACAAAGTATGTAAGGTTTGGTTTTCCTTTTTTTTAAAGTGATGTCTTCCCCAAAACACAAAAAAAGCATATAGCTCCCCTTTAATAATATGATGACTTTAAAGGGAGGCTTTACTACTTCAGTCAGAAGGGATTAGACCACACAGCGAGCCAGCGAGGTCACTGTGACAGTAGGCTATCTCATTAACTCGGCTCTCATTTAACATAAGAAAAAGAGGATCATGGGGGACCAACATGCAGGCACCAATTGGGGAAGTTTTCTATATAGAGGGAGCAAGTAGCTACAAGTAGGACAGTATGCCTTTAAAAGGCAAGTCCACTCCAAAAATAACTTACTTTCAATAGAAGCAGAATAATCATATAAACCAATCACAGAAATGTTGAGCAAAATAGAGTAACTAATATAAAAGTTCTGACTTTGTAATGACAAGAACAACTTTGAAAATCACAAGACAAATTTGCAACTCATTCATCAGTTTGTGGCATCATTGCCTCACTATCCACTAATTGTTTTCTTTAGATTGCACGCAATCTTATACAAATCATATAACCTGGGCAAAGGCATGTGAAAATCGAGTTTTGGGGGAAATTAAAAAGCAATTGATATTGATAAATAGTGAGGCAATGACGTCACGTCACAAACTGATAACCAAGTTGGCAATTTGTGTAGTGATTTTCTAAATTTCATACTTTTTTATACTTTTTACAAACTTCATAATTTTTTTTTTGCTCTGTTTCTCTTGTTTCCGGAATCTAGTAAAAGCATATTATTTCTGGGAAATTATTTTAAATCTTAGTGTGCAGACTGGCACGTAGACTACTAGTGCATGATCAGCTGATTGCACGCTGATTGATTGTGGAGTTCGCCAACAGAACTTCTGAGAACAACATAGCCCTAAAAAGTCAAATTATTGATAATTTCTTCGAGCTCGTCCAATCTTCCATTCGATAAAGATGTTCCGAGATATAGTTGCCCTTCTTCATTTCTTTATTCGTGTTACTTTTGCATATTTAAAGGCGTTTTATCGCCTTTTTGTCAGTCCATCCAAAGTTTCTGTCCGGGGGCGGGTCATCGTGATCACCGGTAGCGGAAGCGGTCTAGGCCGGGAGCTAGGCCTTCGCTTTGCTGCTGAAGGAGCCCGGCTCGCGCTATGGGATATCAGCGATTCGGGTATGTCACCATTTTGTTTGTGTGTTTCATATACTGCTTATTTTTGGGTTGGTTTTGTTTTATTAAGAATGAAAAAGTTGGAAATATAGGCTATGTCGTCATCCGAGTCATTGTGGAAAATCTTTCTAAAGAAAATAATAAAGAAGAAGAAGATGCGAAACGGTGCGAATTAGCTTCAGGGATTTCTTCCCACCATATTGGTCTACACATGGCTAGGACACTATTTCAAACGGCATTATATTCTGTATTCTTAGTCTCTTTTCTATCATTCAACATGATAAATATTATGACTCAAAACACTATAAAAACTGCCTATACTAGATCTCTATATTCCTTGTGGTCCGAGTCCCCCTTAACGTGTTACGATCATCTAATTTCTCATAGAGGGGGAGTATATTCCTTGTGGACATTTGAGGACATTAAGGTAAACAAAAGTTGCCAAAGTAGATGATCATTTAAATTTGGCATGACCATGCAGTTTGTTTAGAGCTAGACTTTACATTTTCAATAGTATTTTTTTCTCCATTAGCCCAAGCAAACTAAAATATTAGAATGATGAGCATTTCTCAAGAAAGTTGGAAGTAATCTCCATTTAAGTTTAATCTCCCTTAATGAATAATCTGTAAATGTTCAATTTCAATTTTTGTTGTAGGCAACAAGAAGACTGCCGAGTTGATCCAAACTGAGTTACCAGATGCGGAGCTTCATCTGTACACAGTAGATGTTACAAATAAAGAGCTGGTTAAAACCTCTGCTCTAAGGTATGACCTCACCCCTTTCCCTGCACCCCCCCCCCCCCCCACAAAAAAAACAAACTATCATACACTTCTCTCTCTCTCCCTCTCTCTCTCTCCTCTCTCTCCCCCTCTCCCTCTCTCTCCCTATCTCTCTCCCCTCTCCCTCTCTTTCTCCCTCTCTCTCTCTCTCTCTCTCTCTCTATCTCTCTCTCTTCTTCTTCTTCTTCTTCTTCTTCTTCTTCTTCTACTTTTTTTTCTTCTCCTTCTTCTTCTTCTTCTTCTTCCTCTTCTTCCTCTTCCTCTTCTTCCTCTTCCTCTTCCTCTTTCTCTTTGTCCTTGCATCATTGATATAGATGTCATTTCTTCATTTATACATTTAAAAAGTGTCATTTCTTCATTCATTCATTCATATAGATGTCATTTATTCATATATATGCCATTTATTCATATACAGTAGATGTCATTTACTAATTCATTTATATAGATGTCATTCATATTGATGCCATTTTTTCATACATTCATATAGATGTCATTAAGTCATTTAGATTTTTTTTATTTTATGTTTAATAAACTACAGGGTACAGAGTGAAGTAGGAGATGTGTACATGCTTATCAACAATGCGGGAGTATTGGTTGGCGAATCATTGCTAGAACTCAGAGATGATGACATCAAACGTACCATCGAGATCAATCTCCTCTCGGCATTCTGGGTAATGATCATTCCTTTGTTTTATAGAAGTAGCTATTTTCACCCCATAACATGGACAATAAAATAAAATCAGGTCAGACTTGCATGTAGTTAATAAAAATGATAATAGGCAGTTCTATGGCAATTCTATTCCGAGACGCACTAATTATTACCCCGGCTTTAGCCTAGCTGCCATTACAGCGCTCCAGCATTTCAAGGAATTAATTCCTGCCAGGTACCCATTTACCTCACCTGGGTTGAGTGTGACAAATGAAGATTAATGCCTTGCCAAAGGACATTAGTGCTGTGTCGGGGATCAAACCACGACCTTTGAATTTCAAGTCAAGTGCTGAAACCACTCAACTACGACACTTCTACTTTGATGCAAGGTTAGCATCTGGGCCCCGTCTTATTTTTGCGATCAATCACAACTATGTACATAAGAGTTAAGAGCCTGCAATTTTGCGATTACTTGGAGGACTTGCGATTGATTTGGATCAACCACAACCTTAAACAATGACTTGTCCTTTTCGTTATTTGTCATACATCATGTTACTAACATAAAAGATAACATCGTTTACAGAATGCAATACTTGGTTACTTATGCAGACACTACGGGCGTTTCTGCCTGGGATGTTGGAGTCCAATTCCGGTCACATCGTCACTACCTGCTCGGCTGGTGGACAAAACGCCATGCATCGACTCACAGACTACTGCGCTTCTAAGTTTGGTATTCTTGGTCTAGATGAGGCGCTGGAGTCTGAGTTGAGGGATGTGTACCTTAGGTCAGGGATCAAGCAGACTCTCATCCTACCCCACTTTCTGGACACCGGACTGATCCACTCTGTCGAGGCAAGGTGAGGGACTAGTTTAGAAGGTCTATTTTTATTTGGTAAAATGCAATCAGGGGGGTGTTTCACAAAGATCCTAAGTTGAACTTATCTCTAAGTTGGACTTAACATTTATGGAAAGCCATTAGCATCTTTGAAAATATTTTGTAAAAGTTGTTTAAAAGGCATAAAATTTTGATTCAAATCATTCATATTTCTATTATCATGGGAGATTTCATGTTCTTGATGTTGAAATTATGAAAAGTCTAAAATATTTGCATTTTGGCTTTTGAATATATTTCATTATAAGGCTTCAAATGGCTCTCCATAATATTTAAGTCCGATTTAAAATTTTGTGTGAAACACCCCCCCCCCCTGGTTTTTTTCTTGGTTGTATGACACATCTAGCTGCTATTGCGCTGTAGTCAAATATCCCATACTAGCGGTAAACCCAAATCCACACTTTAACCCTGGACCAAACACTATACCTAACCTTTTTTATATTTTCTTTTGTTTTGTGATCACATAATGTCTATTCATCATTATTTTGTATGCTTCTTTGGTATGTATATTTCTGCTCTGACTTTTGTCATTGTCAAACAAGTGGATGAAGAATTTCTGTTGCATAATAAATAAAGATTAATCAATAAATTCAATTCAATTAAACTTAAACCTAACACTGAATCTTAAACCTAGCCCCTTATTCTAACCTAACCCCAGTCGCAAAAAAACAAAAACAACCCTGATTCTTTGATGAAGTACCTTTCATAGGGATAAGCCAGTTCGTAAATAGCTTCGGCAAGCATGAACCCAAAATATCCACAGATCTTATGCATGATGGATACGTCCCACTTGTGCATGTTACAATAATCACTGCCTAAGTAATGGAGGTGCTTCATGAATACCTTTTGTTTGCCTCTTGAGAATAATACTTCCGCCTATGTATCAGATAAATGTACTGTCGGTGCATAAATGAATATTTATTACACAACTTTCATGAGCACGATACCAGGGTTTACAATTTGAGAACATATGACCTTTAACTGCCCATGTGCAGATAGTATTTACGAACTGGCTTTTTGTTACCACAGCAATTGTCATATTTCACTTTCTGTCATTTGATTCAGCAAATTCTGTGAAGTAATAACATTTTGTCTCATTTTTATGCCTCCGCCACCGAAGGTGGTGCCGGAGGCATCATGTTTTCGGGTTGTCCGTCCGTACGTCCGTACGTCCGTACGTCCGTCCCGTTTGACCGTTATCACAATATCTCAAGAACCATTTAAGATTTAAACTTAAGACTCGGGACTTAAGACTCGACACCATAGGAAGACGATCTGATTAGATTTTGGAGTACGTAGGTCAAAGGTCACAGGTCACAGAGGTCAACTTATGAGATTCCTTGTATTGAGTTTGTTAGCGCGATATCTCAAGAACCATTTGAGATTTAAACTTCAAACTTAAGGATAGTATGTATCACCATAGGAAGACGATCTGATTAGATTTTGGAGCACGTATGTCAAAGGTCAAGGGTCACAGAGGTCAACTTATGAAATTCCATACATTGAGATTGTTATCATGATATCTCAAGAACCACTGGAGATTTAAACTTCAAACTTAGTGATAGTGTGTATCATTATAGGAAAACAATCTGATTACATTTTGGAGCACGTAGGTCAAAAGTCAAGGGTCACAGAGGTCAACTTATGAAATTCCATACATTGAGATTGTTATCATAATATCTCAAGAACCACTGGAGATTTAAACTTCAAACTTAATGATAGTGTGTATCACCATAGGAAGACAATCTGATTAGATTTTGGAGCACATAGGTCAAAGGTCAAGGGTCACAGAGGTCAACTTATGAAATTCCATACATTGAGATCGTTATCACGATATCTCAAGAACCACTGGAGAATTTTCACTTCAAACTTAATGATAGTATGTATCACCATATCATAATATCTCAAGAACCACTGGAGATTTAAACTTCAAACTTAATGATAGTGTGTATCACCATAGGAAGACAATCTGATTAGATTTTGGAGCACATAGGTCAAAGGTCAAGGGTCACAGAGGTCAACTTATGAAATTCCATACATTGAGATTGTTATCATGATATCTCAAGAACCACTGGAGATTTAAACTCCAAATTTGTTTAAATTGCTCTATGGCGGAGGCATCATTTTCGACTGCGCGCAGTCAAAATTCCATCTAGTTTTTATTAGGCTAGTTTCCCCACAATGAATGTACATACATGCCATTAGATGGATCCTGACCCCCACATCCCTTTGAAAGGGGCGTAGTGGCAAATATTGAAAAATTTGAGTTATCACAACTTTTCGGGCCGAAGTTGTAAGGGCCGGGGTGGTTCAGCATTTTGGAGGAAAATATTATATTTTTTGAATAGGCTAGTTTCCCCACAATGAATGTACATACATGCCATTAGATGGATCCTGACCCCCACATCCCTTTGAAAGGGGCGTAGTGGCAAATATTGAAAAATTTGAGTTATCATAACTTTCGGGCTGAAATGGTAAGGGCCGGCCGGGGTGGTTCAGCATTTTGGAGGAAAATATTATTTTTTTTTAATTGGCTAGTTTCCCCATAATGAATGTACATACATGCGATTAGATGGATTCTAACGCCTATATCCCTTTGACAGGGGGGTAGGGGCAAATATTGTAAAAATTTGAATTATCATAACTTTCGGCCCGAAATGGTAAGGGCCGGGGTGGTTCAGCATTTTGGAGGAAAACATTATTTTTTTTTAATTGGCTAGTTTCCCCATAATGAATGTACATACATGCGATTAGATGGATCCTGAACCCTATATCCCTTTGAAAGAGGCGTAGGGGCAAATATTGTAAAAATTTGAATTATCACAACTTTCGGGCCGAAATTGAAAGGGCCGGGGTGGTTCAGCATTTTGGAGGAAATTTTTTTTTTTTTTATTAGGCTAGTTTCCCCACAATGAATGTACATACATGCCAATAGATGGATCCTGACCCCCACATCCCTTTGAAAGTGGCGTAGTGGCAAATATTGAAAAATTTGAGTTATCATAACTTTCGGCCCGAAATGGTAAGGGCCGGGGTGGTTCAGCATTTTGGAGGAAAACATTATTTTTTTTTAATTGGCTAGTTTCCCCATAATGAATGTACATACATGCGATTAGATGGATCCTGACCCCCACATCCCTTTGAAAGGGGCGTAGGGGCAAATATTGAAAAATTTGAGTTATCATAACTTTCGGCCCGAAATGGTAAGGGCCGGGGTGGTTCAGCATTTTGGAGGAAAAAATTATATTTTTTGAATAGGCTAGTTTCCCCACAATGAATGTACATAGATGCGATTAGATGGATTCTAACGCCTATATCCCTTTGACAGGGGGGTAGGGGCAAATATTGTAAAAATTTGAATTATCACAACTTTTCGGGCCGAAGTTGTAAGGGCCGGGGTGGTTCAGCATTTTGGAGGAAAATATTATTTTTTTTAAATTGGCTAGTTTCCCCATAATGAATGTACATACATGCGATTAGATGGATCCTGAACCCTATATCCCTTTGAAAGAGGCGTAGGGGCAAATATTGTAAAAATTTGAATTATCACAACTTTCGGGCCGAAATTGTAAGGGCCGGGGTGGTTCAGCATTTTGGAGGAAAATCTTAATTTTTTTTATTAGGCTAGTTTCCCCACAACGATTGTACATACATGCCATTAGATGGATCCTGACCCCCACATCCCTTTGAAAGGGGCGTAGTGGCAAATATTGAAAAATTTGAGTTATCATAACTTTCGGCCCGAAATGGTAAAGGCCGGGGTGGTTCAGCATTTTGGAGGAAAATATTTTTTTTTTTTAATTGACTAGTTTCCCCATAATGAATGTACATACATGCGATTAGATGGATCCTGAACCCTATATCACTTTGAAAGGGGCGTAGGGGCAAATATTGTAAAAATTTGAATTATCACAACTTTCGGGCCGAAATTGTAAGGGCCGGGGTGGTTCAGCATTTTGGAGGAATTTTATTTTTTTATTTGGGCTAGTTTCCCCATAATGAATGTACATACATGCGATTAGATGGATCCTGAACCCTATATCACTTTGAAAGGGGCGTAGGGGCAAATATTGTAAAAATTTGAATTATCACAACTTTCGGGCCGAAATTGTAAGGGCCGGGGTGGTTCAGCATTTTGGAGGAAAAAATTATATTTTTTGAATAGGCTAGTTTCCCCACAATGAATGTATATACATGTCATTAGATGGATCCTGACCACCATATCACTTTGAAAGGGGCGTAGGGGCAAATATTGAAAAATTTGAGTTATCATAACTTTCGGCCCGAAATGGTAAGGGCCGGGGTGGTTCAGCATTTTGGAGGAAAAAATTATATTTTTTGAATAGGCTAGTTTCCCCACAATGAATGTACATACATGTGATTAGATGGATTCTAACGCCTATATCCCTTTGACAGGGGGGTAGGGGCAAATATTGTAAAAATTTGAATTATCACAACTTTCGGGCCGAAATTGTAAGGGCCGGGGTGGTTCAGCATTTTGGAGGAAAAAATTATATTTTTTGAATAGGCTAGTTTCCCCACAATGAATGTACATACATGCGATTAGATGGATTCTGACGCCTATATCCCTTTGACAGGGGGGTAGGGGCAAATATTGTAAAAATTTGAATTATCACAACTTTCGGGCCGAAATTGTAAGGGTCGGGGTGGTTCAGCATTTTGGAGGAAAAAATTATATTTTTTGAATAGGCTAGTTTCCCCACAATGAATGTACATACATGCGATTAGATGGATTCTAACGCCTATATCCCTTTGACAGGGGGGTAGGGGCAAATATTGTAAAAATTTGAATTATCACAACTTTTCGGGCCGAAGTTGTAAGGGCCGGGGTGGTTCAGCATTTTGGAGGAAAATCTTAATTTTTTTTATTACGCTAGTTTCCCCACAACGATTGTACATACATGCCATTAGATGGATCCTGACCCCCACATCCCTTTGAATGGGCGTAGTGGCAAATATTGAAAAATTTGAGTTATCATAACTTTCGGCCCGAAATGGTAAAGGCCGGGGTGGTTCAGCATTTTGGAGGGAAATATATATTTTTTT